AACCACAATTGCCTAAAAAAAAAAAAAAAGAATGAGGTGCTGGTCTCCTATTCTGTCAGGGCCTATATATTGCTGTCTGATCCTGAAGCCTCCACACTTATCTTTCCTTCTTTTCTGTAATGGCAGGTGAGGCCACCATCCTAGTACACATTGAAAGGTCAAGACGTTGTACTGAAGCATAACAGTATTGGCAACCTGGCTAAATATTAGATAGCTGGTAAAATAGATGGGTAGGTAGCCAATAATTAATAATTCTGGCACCTGGGGGTGTTCTGGGGTTTGATTATGAGGTTGTTTGGAGACAAACCACGAGAGTCGAAGTGAGATACCAGACTGTGTGAAGGAGGCAGGGATTAGACGGGATAGTCTTTGAGGCTGGATGGGAGCAGGGTGGGGATAGTGACCCCGTACATGACAGCAATAGATCTAGACACCATGAGAATTTTAAGGAAGAGCTGGTTTCTGAGCGATGACAGCCGAGGGAGCCCCTCTCTGGAAGAGGCACTAAGTTTTGCGTCATGTCTTCCCAGCTCTTTGTGTCGGGATGTTTTAATAGAAGGAGAAACCGGCCTTAGACAGGGTGTGAAAGGCGTGGTTTCTTCAGAAGAAGGCTGGTTTCATTGAGCAATAGAATGGCGGCAGCAATGCGAGTAGAAAAGTAGCATAAGATCATCTACTCCAACCCCGTGGAGTTGAGAAAACCTGATTTCAAATCCAGCCTTAGATAACTTACTAGCTGTGTGACCCTGGGAAAGTCATTTAAGTCTCACTTATGTGCCTCAGTTTCCTCATCTGTAAAATGGGAATAATGACGGCACCTAACTGCCAGGGTGGTTGTGAGGATCAAATGAGATAATTGTGAAGCTCTTAGCACAGCGCCTGGCACATAGTAGGTGCTATAGGAATATTAGCTGTAATGATGATGATGATGATGAAGAAAATGAAGAACCTGAGGTTATCGTGACTTGCTAAAATCGTGCAGGTGGGTAGGGTCATAGGGTCACAGATCTGGGGCTGTAACGGACCTTGGAAGGCCGTCTTGTCCAACCCTCTCATTTTATAGATGAAACCGAGACCCGTGTAAGTGAAGTGACTTGCCCACGATCATACAGCTTCGTAGAAGCATGGATCTAAACCTGCCAAGGACCCTTAAGGTCAGCTAATCCAGTCTCCTCATTTTATAAATGAGGAAACAGGGTGGGAGTCGGGATGGGAGGGGAAGGAAACAAGCATTTGTGTGCCAAGCATTTCAAAAATATCTCATTTGTGCCTCACAACAACCCTGGGAAGTAAGCAATGTCATAATCCTCATTTTACGGATGAGGAAACTGAGGCAAACAGAGGTTAAGTGACTTGCCTAGGGTCTCACAGTTAGTACCTGAGGCTCTATCCACTGTGCCACTTCGATGAGGCCCAGATCGGAGGGATATGACTCGTCCAAGGTCATGCAGATAATGAGTACCAGAGTCAATATTTAAACTTAAAGTCTCTGACTAAAATCTAGTGATCTTTCCGCTTTTACACGACAAAGGAAGACTCCAGGGAGTGCAGAAGAGGAGGGCAGAGGGAGATAGAAACCAGAGAGAGCTAGGAATGCAGTTACTCTTTGGGGTTGGCGACAACCCATATGGCCAGCGGAGAGCCGGCTTTGCTCCCGCCGGGATTCTAAGTTCCAGTTTGACATGGTCTTTGGTGCGGCCCATCTCTAGTGGGAGAAAAACGCAAGAGCAATATAGTATTTGTAGATCACTTTAAAATTTGCAGAGTGAGTTTTACATATATTACCTCATTTGGTCCTTAAAGTAATCTTCTGAGGAAGGAGCTATTATTGACCTCATTTTCCAGTAATTTAGGGTCACACAGCTAATAAGTGTTCAAGGCAAGACTTGAACTTGGGTCATCCTGATTCCAATTTCAGTGCTTTATTTATTATGATAATAAGACCCTTAGGCTTGATACGTCAGGACCTGAGAGAGGGAGCAGGTAGTCAGAGGAACTCTAGGTGTCTGTAGGATTTAGTGTGGGTAACAGGTAGGAATTTGAGGCACCCAGGCTATTGGTAACTAAAGCACAACCTTAATTGCTTCATACTAGTTTCTACTCTGTACGTTGTACGTTAAGCCCTTGTACTCTATATGATAGGGCCGCTAGGTGGCGTACCAAATAGTGCTGGCCCTGGCATCAGGAAGACTCGAGTTCAAATGTGACCTCAGACACTTACTAGCTGTGTGACCTAGCAAGTCACTTAGCCCTGTTTGCCTCAGTTTCCTCATCTGTAAAATGAGCTGGAGAAGGAAGCAGCAAACCACTGCAGTATCTTTGCCAAGAAAACCCCAAATGGAGTCACAAACAGTCAGACACAACTGAAACAACTGAACAACAACAATGTGATAATATGATGGATCAGTTTAGTCAGTCAGTAAAACTAAGAGTCTGGCTAGCTCAAGGGGGGAAGAAAAACTGAATGAATTGCTGAGTCACTTCTGTTAAAGCAGTTGATTTGGAAATTCTGCCTATGAGACTTTGTCTTATGCAAATACAGAAGATTGGATTAATGCGTGACAATTGTTTAAACCTGCTGGCCTCCTTCAGGTTGATTGACTTCCAACAAATCAGTATCTGACGTCTTGTGTTGGGCAAGACAGGATCTGTCCTCATCTGAAACATAATAATTGCTACCTGCTTCACAAGGCTGACTAATCAAAGTGACATCGTGTATTTGAAATACATGGTAGTGTGAGGTATTATTTTTCTACCTCAGATACTGCTCCTTTCTCGGTGTTCTCTTTCTTCAGTTGCTTATGGACAGGTCTCTCTGATAACGCCACCAAAAACCTACACTTATTTAATGTTTTTAAGATATGTTTTGTTACTGTTGTTGAGTCGTTTCAGTCCTGTACAACTCTTTATGACCCCTTTTGGGGTTTTCTTGGCAAAGATACTGGAGGGGTTTGCCATTTCCTTCTCCAGCTCATTTTACAAATGAGGGAACTGAGGCAAACAGAGTTAGGTGACTTTACCAGGGTCACACAGCTAGTAAAGTGTCTGAGGCCAGATTTGAACTCATGAAGATGAGTCTTCCTGATTCCAAGCCCAGTGCTCTATCAGTGGTGCTACCTAGCTGCCCTGGGTTCCTTTGTAACCCTATGTATTTAATTAAAAAACATTATTATGAGAAAAGGTCCATAGGCTTCACCAGACTGCCAAAGGAGTCCGTGACACAAAAAAATTAAGGATTCCTGTTCTAGTGGGAGATGCTGAGAGGTTGTTACTTGTCCATGGTCAAGGGGCAGGGGCAGGATTTGCACTCAAGATTTCCTTCTTGCAAGGTTTGCCCTCTATCCATAAGGCAAACTTCTATCTTGTAGGAACTTAATTTATGAATTAAATTGCCCTCTGACCTCCCTAATGTCTCCATCTCCTTTGCTAGCTCCTCATTTCCTCCCAATCACTTAGGTTACTTATCTGTACACATGTCATATCCCTCTACTAAGCTCCTGGTAGTCAGAGAATGCTTATTTTTTCTTCTTCTCTGTTTCCTCATTGCCTGGAAAAGGACCTTGCAAACTGTAGGTGTTTAATAAACGTTTAAATTACCTACTTCTTTTCAGAGTCTAACATTTGAGATAGGACACCTAAGCACGACCACTATTAAGTATATTGATTTTAAAGGTAACTTTTAAAATTGAATTATACGAAATATATTAAAAGTAATATGCCCTTCCAAAGGCCTAAGATGGTATTATTGTGTGGAGACACAAGAGGGTGCTAATTGAAATACCCCTTTGCTATGGCAGCATACCAGATTGAGATCTGGGAGGGACCTCAGAGGCTGTTTCAGCCCTATTATTTTACAGATGAGGAAACTGAGGCCCCAGGAGGTTAAATGACTTTCTCAGGATCACCCAGGAAATAAGCAAGATTTGAACCCAAATCTTTTGACGAGAGTGCTCTTTCTGCATGCTGAAGATTCATAGATTGATAGGGCTGGAAGCAGTTTTAGAGGTTATCCAAACCAGGGGTTCTTGAACAGACTTCGAGAAATAGTGGAGTATAGAAGGGCCTGCTATGCTATGATCCACAGGGTCACAAAGAGGTGGATGTAATTGAGTGACTGAAAAACAGCAAACCAGGGCTTGTTAACAGGGTTTTTTGTGTGTCATGAACCCTTTTGGGTGAAACCTATGGACTCCTTCCTAGAATTATGTTTTTAAATGCATAGAATAAAATACCTTGGATTACAAAGGAAACCAATTATATCAAAACATAATTATTAAAATATTTTTTAAAACAAATTTGTGAACCGCAGGTTAAGAATTGTACCCAAGATCAGATGGCCAATTAATGGCAGAGCAGAACTAGGGCCCAGGTCAGCTAACTCCTTATCTGGAACTCTATTTTTTTCTCTTGAGAAATTAATCAGTCATTAAAACTTAGAAAAAAAAGTATCAACACATTGCTTAGGACATGTTGGTGACTTCTGGCTTCTACCCTCAGTCAGGTCGTTATTCTTGTTCTAAAGAAGGTGTGACAATTAACATGAATAGAAACCTACTTTTGCAACATTTCTTTATTTTTAAAAAGTGTTTTTAAAAGAATGTTTATTTTTTTAAAAATTTAATATTTTATTTTTCCCCAATTACATGTAAAAACAATTCTTCACATTTTTTTAAATTTTGAGTTCCAAATTCTCTTCCATCCTCCCTCCCCTTGCTTTTTATTGAGGAGACAAGCAATTTGATATAGATTATATATGTGCAATCATGCAAAACATGTTTCCATATTAATCACATACATTTCTTTAATTTCAGTGTTTCTTCATCCAGGCACAGGTAATGAAAGGCAATGAAGTAACTGTGTTCCTTAAGAGAGTTATAGCAGATTCTTACTCTAAATATAAAAGTCCTAACTAGTGATGTTTAGGCCAGATTAAAAAAAAATGCATAGAGTTCTTATAGCTGTGAAAAGAGACTGAATGAACCTGTCTTTTCATCCTACAGATGGATTGCTGCTCTTTCAACAAGTGCCTTTGGTCGAAATTGATGGAATGAAACTCACCCAATCCCGAGCCATTCTTAGCTACCTGGCTGCTAAATACAACCTGTATGGGAAGGACCTGAAAGAAACAACATTGTAAAGTATCAGCTCTGCCCTTACTTGATTTTGGCACATTATAAGTTCCCCATAATAGAGAACCTATTCTGATGTTACAACCTTTGGGAAGAGGCCAAACTCAAGGTAGATTGAATAGAAGAGAATGAAGGTGGGTCAGGTACTGACAGACTAGACTGAGCTAGGGAAATTTTTTAATTAATTTTTTTCAATTAAAAAGCATTCATTTTTTTCTCACTCCTCCCTCCCCATCCTCCACCCCCAAAGAAAAATTAAACCCGTATAACAAATATGCATAATCAAGCAAAACAAATTCCTATAATGGCCATGCCCCAAAATGTAAGTTATTCTGAATATTTAGACTATCACATCTCTGTCAGGAGGTGGGTATCATTTTTTATCACTGATCTTCTGGAATCATGGTTGATGCATTGATTAGAATTTGGAAGTCTTTTAAAGTTGTTTTCTTTACAATGTTGTCATTATTGAATAATTGTTTTTCTAATTTTGCTCATGTCATTCTGAATCAGTTCATATAAGTCTTCTCAGGTTTCTCTGAACCCATTTCTTTCATCTTTACTTACTTCACAAGAGTACTCCATTACATTCATATACCATAATTTGTTTTGCCATCCCTTAATTAATGGGTACTCCCTTAGTTTCCAGATCTTTGTCACCAAAAAAAGTACTGATATAAATATGGGTCTTTCTTTGATCTCTTTGGGCATAGGCCTAGTTGTGGTATTGTAGGGTCAAAGGCTGTGTACAGTGTAGTCACTTCTGGGGCATAGTTCCAAACTTCTTTCCAGAACTACTGAACCAATCATAGCTCTACCAACAATGGATTACTCTGCCTGTTTTTCCCCTAGTTCCTCCAACATTTGTCCTTGGCCCTTTTTGTCAACTTTGTCAACTTGATCGTGGGAACTAAAATTTCAGAGTTGCTTTAATTTGCATTTCTCAGGGGTAGCTAGGTGGCGCAGTGGATAGAGCACCAGCCCTGGATTCAGGAGGACCTGAGTTCAAATCTGACCTCAGACACATAACACTTACTAGCTGTATGACCTTGGGCAAGTCACTTAACCCCATTGCCTTGCCCCCCTCCCAAAAAATTTGCATTTCTCAGATTTATTTGCGGTTTGGTACATTTTTTCATATGACTGATAGCTTGGATTTCTTTCCTTTAAAAACTGCCTGTTCATATCTTTTGGTAATTTCTCAATTGGGAAACCCACCCTAAGGAGAATTCAGAAATGGGCACAATTTGTCTTTATTGTCATTTCTTCTCCTTTCTGGGTCTTTTCCCTAGCTTTAGTGACACCACCTCCTCTATTCTTTTTTTTTGGGGGGGGGGTTAGGCAATGGGGTTAAGTGACTTGCCCAGGGTCACACAGCTAGTATTATGGGTCTGAGGCTGAATTTGAACTCAGGTCCTCCTGAATCCAGGGCCAGTCCTCTATCTACTGCGCCATCTAGCTGCCCCCCTCCTCCTCTATTCTACAGGCCCTCATGTTCTTACATTCCCTCTTACTCTCACAGTCCCTGCTGTAACTGCTGTCAAAATTTGTTTCCCAGGGAAGGAGCAGATAAACAGGGGAAAACTGAGATGAAGCTATCTAAAGGGGCTTAATATGTTATGTATTCCAGACATATTTTAGGATCAGAGGATTTAAAGCTAGAAGGGATTTGAGATACCATCTACTCCAGTTCCTTCATTTTAGAGATAAGGTAACCGAGGCCCAGAGAGAAATGACTTTCCCAAGGTAATGAATACATGCAGTGAGAAGCAGAGCCAGGTATGAGCTCAAGTTTTCAATGGCATGCGTGGAACTTGGGCCAGCTGTTCTAGAAGGCATTGGGCGTGAGCATTAGCACTTGTCCTTCTTTGGAAAGGATAATGTTAGGTAAGAAATATCTCCTCTTTGAGTTCCTGTGGTCGATCACTGCTGCCAAAGTAAATCTACTACAACACAGAAATTAGAGAGGTAACACCCTCGGTTTTATTATGCTTAAGCACAGGTTCAGGAGGTAGAAAAATGATTAGGTTGATAAAGACGCCTTTAGGAGACAAAATTACATCCGAGTGATAGAAAATTCTTTGACATATTGTAATCTCATGCATTCTTTTAGACTATAAAAATTAAGGTAGATTTACAATCTCATGCCTTCTTTGATGTCATAAAAGTTGAACAAATTTAAACAGAATCATAATCTCATGCATCCCCTATAGAAACAAGCCTAGTTAAGTAGATTCTATAGGTAAACTAAGTCAAGTCACAGATTATATTTAGAAGGTTCACGATGGGCTGGTTGAGAGGGGAGATTTACATGCCTACAGAGTCATCATCAGCTGAATCCTTCCTCAAATAAGCCAAGCCACATTACTTGGGAAGCCTTGATTCACTTTTTAGCTGCTTATCTGAAGCCTTAAGTAAATTTTCACATCCCATGGATTGGGTTTTAGCCAACTCAACCTCCTAGCTAAGAGAAATTCTTCCCCCCACCCCCAACAAAAATTAATAAAATTAAAAATCCCATAATAATGATGTTAGTAATAGCCATTTTATGTCACTTTAAGGTTTTCAAAGCCCATTATTTGCATTATCTTACTTGATCATGACAATTCTGTGAGGTTGGTGCTATTATTTCCATTTTACAAAAGAAACTGAAACTGAGAGGGGTAAAATGACTCGCTGGGGTCAAAGAATTGGAAAGTGATTGAGGAAGGATTTGAACTCCAGTCTGTCTTGACTCTATGTTGTGTGCTCTAGTCTTTACATTATGATGGTGGTGATCTCTCCAAGGTGAGCCAGCATGCCCAGGTGTACCTAGCCTTTTTCTATGCACACCTGTGTTTCTGATTATCTTAGAGTCAATTATATTTCTATTTTATTACTTAGGAAAGGTTAACGTAGAATTATAGGCATCAGCAAGCCAGGTGTAAAACGTATTTGGTAGACATGAGTCACTCCTCAGCACCCTTAAAATCTCACCGCCGTTGCCAAAGCCCACTTGTAAGTCTAGCCCACATCAAGCCCAGCTTCATAGCTCCTAAATGCAAGAGATTAAAAAAATGATGGCTGGGAAAACATAATTCCTACCAGTGTGTTGTAATGAATAGTCAAGGCAGCAAGCACCTACTATGTGCCAGGCAGGACTTGGATTTGAATCTTGCTTCAGACAATCCCTATCTGTGACTCTGGGCAGGTCATTTTACTTCTTTGTGTCTCAGTTTCCTCATCTGTAAAATGAAGAGGTTAGACTGAACCCAAGGTGATTGGCAGCTCTAAATCTATAAGCATATGACCTACTAATTAGCATAGAAAAGACTAGTATAGAAGTTAACTGCTCCAAAAGTATAGTTTTGAGTGAAACTTAAAATGCTGTGCTTTCAGGATTAACATGTATACGGATGGCACCATGGACCTGATATTCTTGATTACTGTAGTTTATTTCAAGCCAGCTGAAGAAAAGGAGAAGGAGATTGAGCTCATCCTGGAGAAAGCCAAAAACCGCTATTTCTGTGTCTTTGAAAAGGTAAATCTTTGTGAGCCAAGGATTTCACAGGCTCTAACATGTCAAATTCCAGTTCTTTACCACCAGAAAGAGAGCTATTAGAAACATTTTAGAATATACAGGTTCTTTTCCTTTTTCCTTAATCATCTATATTATGAAAATGCTTGTTTTAGTCCATAATTTAAAAAAAAATGAAAAAATGAAAAATTCCTTTTTCTCTTTTTAGTCTTGAACCTACTCTTCGTTCCGGAGAGACTGGCCTGAGAGTTATTCCCTTTATGTAACATTTTACTTCCTAATTCCATGCTTTTGCATAGGTCCACCGGGGTCTGAAATGCATTTCCCTCCTCACTTCCACCTTAAAAAATCCTTGGCTACACTTAGAACTGTTTATTGAATTGGATTGGATTAAATTGAAGGTTGTACCAGAAATGAATACGTTTATATTGTCTCAGAAGGAGGCCATCAGACTAGAACATTATGGACTTTGGCCAAAGGCCATTGAAGAGCTTTGAAGGTGAAGAATAGTTTCGAAATTAAGAAAAAAAAGATTATAAAAACTTTAGACAGAACTGTTTGAATGAGTTTAGGAGTTTGAAAGTATGTAACATTTCAGGGGAAGCTGAGTGTCAAAGTGGATAGAACACCGGGCCTGGAGTAGTAAAGATCTGAGTTCAAATGTGACTTCATTCACTTACTAGCTGTGTGACTCTGGGCAAGTTACTTTACCTTGTTTGCCTCAGTTTCCTCATCTGTAAAATGAGCTGGAGAAAGAAATGGCAAACTACTTTAGTATTTTTGCCGAGAAAACCTCAAATGGAGTCATGAAGAGTCAGACACAACTGAAAAGATTCGACAACAGAAACCTATTCTCCACCTGCCCCACTTCTCCACCAGCTACATCCTAGGGGAGCATGTTCTCAGTTCACTTTTCCCAGTCCTGCCCCACCCCCTTCCCCTTCCTGAGGCTCCTTGGGATAGAGCATCCCACAGGATAGTATCCTAGAGTCCCTCTCCCTCAGCCAACTGAATTTGTCTTAAAAAGTGGATTTGAGTTAGTATTTCATGTTGCTTGCTCAGGATGCCAAGATTACCATACAAATTTGGGCTGAATGAGCTTCCTGGTCAAGAACATACACTTTGTGGGAGGCCAGTTAGGAACTCATTGTGTGACTAGTGCAGTGGAGGGTGGCCAATAGACCTCAAGCCTACGGGTGAATTAGGAGGATATCCACTCAAGTGTGTGAAAACTTGCCCTGGTGGAATGGGCAGATGAGAACAGTTTGTTCTAATGGCCACAAAGGCGGCTGAAGCAGGCACCATGCAGCACTGAGCACTTGGTCAAACGTCGAAGGTGACTGCCGGGCCACCTTCAGTTGTCTTGACTTTTGTCCTGTCACCAGACTTGGCTGACTTGGGGAGAGAGAGAGACTTTGTGCGGCTCTGCCTCACTTAAATCCAATTCACTGGAGAGTCACGACGTCACTCTGTGATGTCACTGGTCCTCTCTGAAAACAAAGAACTGAACAAGAGAGCGTGGGATTTGGAGTTGGAGGCCTAGGGTTCCAATGCTTCTGTCTCCTACTACGTGGGTGACTTTGGACAAGTCGCTTCATCTTTCTTGCCCACCTCAATTTCCTCATCTTCTAAATAAAGGAGTTGGACTAGAAGATCTCTGAGGTGCCTTCCAGCTCTAAACCCGTGGTACTATGACTATGAAGCAGTTTATTCTTTATGAGGATTAAACCTTGGTCTGATGCCAGCTCAAGCAAAGAACCCAGTTCTGTTCCCAGTCTACGAAGTCTCTTTGTGACCCCATTTGGAGTTTTCCTGGCAAGGAAATACTAGAATGGTTTTGCCATTTCCTTCTCCAGCTCATTTTTACAGATGAGGAAACTGAAGCAAACAGGGTTAAGTGACCTGCCCAGGGTCACTGTCTGAGTCTACATTTGAACTTGGGAAGATAAGTCTACCTTACAACGCTACCTAGCGACCCAAAGCAATGTGCACAAATGACCATAATTCAAGTGAGGAAATGATGGCATCCTTTAGTGTGTACTGATCCAAGGTCAAATAGGGCTTACTTTTATCCAACGTCCTTTTGTTGTTGTTTTTTCCCCTCTACAGATTTTGAAAAACCACGGACAGGATTATCTGGTTGGCAACAAATTTAGTTGGGCAGACATACAACTGCTGGAAGTTATTTTAATGGTAGAAGAATTATGTGCTAATGTGCTCTCCGAATTTCCTCTGCTACAGGTAGATGGTTAAGCTTGGGGGAAGGAGGGAAAAAGGAGGAAACTCATCTCTCCCCGTGTACACCTGAAAGAAATGAGCAGGAACAAAGATTGAAATAGAAGTATCCATCCAAGTTAATCCCTAGGGCTCCATGTGGTATCCAAAAGAAATTTAAGGAGACTGACTGGGTGTTTCTATTTAGTTTTTTGTTCTTTCGCTTACCTAACGTATCTAATTTGAGACATTTTATGGATAGGGAAAGGATTAAATCCTTTGGCCTCTAATTTGACTATTTAGCAACTTGCAAGGGTGTTGTTTTGTTTTTTAATGGAAGCAGGGACTGACCCTACGCAAAACAAAACATTTTTTTCTACAAAGATTGTCTTCAGTGCTGCTCTTATCAAAGTTATGTCATTCACACCCCTTTCTACATCATGCCAAGTGCTCCATGCTATCCGCTGACTGCCTAGGGTGCCCATCTCATAGTTCCCTTCATAGCCATGACCTATTCCTCCACACCTTCTTTTTATTCTCTAACTATAATGGTCTACTTGGCAATACACATTATTCTATTTCCAGACTCTGTGCCTTTGTCCTGGCTGTCTCTCAGGCCTGAAATACTTTTTTTTTTCCCTCACCCACCTCTATCTCTTGGCTACCCTGTCCCTGGCTTTCTCCAATACTTGTATCAAATCTGACCTGCTGAAGGTGGTCTTTAACGGTCCCTTTCAACTCTCCTCCCCTTCCTAGTATGTTTCCTCTGAGACTACCTCCTGTCTACTCTATATAAAATAGTGGGGTAGCTATGTGGTGCAGTGGATAGAGTGCTGACCTGGAGTCAGGAAGACTGAGTTCAAATGTGACCTCAGATACTAGCTGTATGACCCTGGACAAGTCATTTAACCTCTGTTTACCTCCAGGATTCTTATATGTAAAACGGAGATAATTACCTCTGTAAAATGGAGATAATATTTTAAAGTGCTTGGCATATAGTAGGCCCTATGTTAGCTATTACTATTATTAGGTAGCTAGGTGTTGCAATGGATAAAGTACCAGGCCTGGAGTCAGGAAGACTCTTCTCTGAGTTGAAATCTAACTTCAGACACTTACTAGTTATGTGACCCTCAGCTCGTCACTTAACCTCTGTTTGCCTCCAGTTTCCTCATCTGTAAAATGGAGGTAATAATTATACCTACATCCTAAGTTGTAGGATGTTGTGAGGATAAAATGAGATTATATGTGTGTGTATATATATATCTATATATCTCTCTCTCTATATATATAGATATAGATATAGGTATATGTGTGTGTGTGTGTGTGTGTGTGTGTGTGTGTATGTATATATAATTTTTTTTTTTTGGTGAGGCAATTGGGGTTAAGTGACTTGCCCAGAGTCACACAGCTGGTGAGTATCATGTGTCTGAGGCCAGATTTGAACTTGGGTCCTCCTGACTCCAGGGCTCTAGCTGACCCATGAGATAATATTTTTAAAGCCCTATATAAATGTTAGCTATTATTATTATTGGGCAGCTAGGTAGTGCAGTGGATAGAATGCCCAGGGGCTAGAGTCAGGAAGACACCTCTTTCTGAGTTCAAATCTAGCCTCAGATACTTACTAGCTGTGTGATCCTGGGCAAGTCACTTAGCCCTGTCTGCCTCAGTTTTCCCATCTTTAAAATGAGCAGGAAAAGGAAATGGCAAACCACTCCAGTACCTTTGCGAGAAAACCTTAAATGGGTTGTGAAGAGTCAGACATGACCGAACAAAAAAAAAAAATGATTATTATCTTACATCTTGTATGTACATAGTTATCTACCTATTATCTTCCCTATCAGGATGTGAGCTCTTTGAGGGTGGGGCAAGTTATTTATTTATTTATTTTTGTATCCCTAGTGCTTAGCACAGTGCCTGATGCATAGTAAGTACTTACTAAGTGCTTGTTGACTGACTGTGCTCTGACTTTTCCCTCTGCCTTTCCCCAGCTTCAAAACTTAGCTCTCTTCTGTTGTACCCACAACCCTATTTTTGTTATCTGTGAGTAGTGATTTCTTTGAATCAGACAAATAAATCTTCACTAAGAAGCTGGTTTAGCTCATTATTTTTTCTCCTTACACAATGTCTCAATCCGCATATGTCAAATATTTCTATCAATACCTTGGGTCGGGGGGCCACCGCACATTTAGGTAGATTTCTGATCTGCCTTGTAAGTAGTATTATTTTGCAATTCACCTCCTAATTATGTTTTTTTTTTTCTTGAATTAGGCATTTAAAAAAAGAATCAGCAACATCCCTACAATTAAGAAATTCCTCCAGCCTGGTAGTCAGAGAAAACCCCCACCAGATGAACGCTACTTGACTACTGTGAGGAAGGTTCTACAGTTTTAATGGCTAAGGGTAGGACAAGTAGGCAATAGAAAGAGATTCAGCTGATGAATCAGAAGATGTGGATTCAAATCCTGCCTCTGATCTTTACAACTTGCCCCTGGCCCTCAGTTTCCTCATCTGTAAAATGAGGGGCTTGGATCTGATGGTCCCTTTGAGTTCTATATCAATGACTCTATGAAGTAGAGAGTATAAAGATTTTAGCCATATTGTTATGAATAGCACAAAGTCAGCATTGTAGTGGATAGCTGAAGCCTATCTCTAGGTACTAAAAACATAATGTTAGACAAGTACGAAACTAATGATGCCACTAAAGGCAAAAGTTGAAATTAAATGCAAAGCTGATTAAAGTTAAAGTTATCTTTGTGGTGTATGATGTGTGTATTTTTTTTAATCATTGCTATTTTTATATTACCTTTATTTCCTAATAAACCCTTTCTCTCCACCAAGAAAACCATCCCTTAAAATAAAGAGTAAAAAAGAAAGGAAAATAAAGCAGTTCAGAAAAACTCACCAGTATAGCAGTGAAGTCTGACAATATATGCCATGTTGGTATATTTTTTTCAAGCAGATGTTAATTTGGAATGAAGTTCTACAACTTACTTAAAATAAACATTATGGAAGCACTCACACACATAGTAAATTTCATCACTTTTCAAGTTCTGGGTCTCCCTGAGACCTCCCTGAGCTACTTCTGCACCATCCCCATCCCCAAGTGTTCTCTTTTTCCATGCAGAGACTACTGGGGGTTTGAGATTTCTGCTATTCAGATATAGCATCTGTTAGGTTGCTTGCTTCCCAGATATAGAATCTCCTGTGGGTTGGGCACCGGTTTAGAGAGAGACACATCCACACTCGCCCTCTCTGTCTCCCTTTTCCTCTCCCTCTCTTTCTCCTCCTCGTTATCTGCACAATCTGGAACCTCTGCCCCTTAAAGCTTACCCTCACTCCCTAATTCAAAGATTCGGCCCCAGGGACAAACCTAACCCTTCAAGAATACCCACACCAACGTAGCTATAAATTGTTAGGCAAGCCTTCAGGTCTCATGCACGAGCTGCTGGGAAGCCATACCTGGACATAACTGTACATTCTCTTTCATCCAAAGCCTGACTCTATTAGCTTCCATAAAATTCCCTCTTTTTTCTCCCAGGCTTCAACTGCTATTCATTCTCTCAACATCTCCTCACTGCTCTCAGTGGACCCAGGAGCCAGTTTTCTGCTGATTACCAACCTCTGGAGAATATCCTAATCACTCTTTTGTCACCTAGGAGAACTCCTTCAGACTCTGAAAATATGAAGCAGATGCTTTGAGGTCACTGGCATGAACAATCCTCTGTGCCAGGCTTGGTATTCAGTCCACTGGGGAAATAAAGGGTAAGTGATGTGGGAAGGACATTCACTCCAGCCCCCAGTTTAGACTCTGTATTCCTAATGCTAAGAAAGTGGCAACTTAGGAATGTTCACCCTGGGAATCAAATGGATTGAACCTGACTCATAGAGACCTATAGTTATGAACTTGGGCGATGCCATTGAGAAAACTTAAGGTGGCACAGTGGATAGGGCACTGGGTTTGGAATTAGGAAGAGACTCATCTTCACAAGTTCAAATCTGACCTCAAATGCTTACTAGCTGTGTGACCCTGGGCAAGTCACTTAACCCTGTTTGCCTCAGGTTCCTCATTTCTAAAATGAGCAGGAGAAGAAAGTGGCAAACCACTCCAGTATCTTTGTTAAGAAAACTCCAAATGAGTGGATAGAGCATTGGCCCAGAAGACAGGAGGACCTGAGTTCAAATCCAGCCTCAGACATGATACTAGCTGTGTGACCCTAGGCAAGTCACTTAACTCCAATTGCCTCACCAAAAAAAAAAAAAAGAAAAGAAAAGAAAACTCCAAATGGGATTACAAAGAATTGGAAACAACTGAAATGACTGAACAGTAACGAGGATGGAGGACTCTTTTTGCGGGGGAGGCAGCTGAGGAACTCTCATCACTACATATGTCAATTCATTCAACAAGTGTTTTATTGACATAGGTTTGGTGGGTCACACCTATAGACCCTGCTGCTGGGTAGACTGAGGCTGGTGGATCACTGCAGGTCAGGGGTTCTGAGCTCCTGTAGGGCTAAAGTTGACTCAGTGTCACACTAAGTCAGTTAATAAAATTGATGATTCAAGGGCCACAATGAATCACAGGTCAGAAAAAATGAAGCAGGTTGAAACTTATGCGCCAATCAGTATTGGTATTGGACCTACAAGTGGTCACTATTCTTTCAGCCTGGGTGAGTTAGGGAGATGCAGTTTCAAAAAAAAAAAAGTCTTATTGAATGACTGCCATGTGTAAGATACATGCTAAATACTGAGGGGAATAGAAAGATGAGAGGAGGTCTTTACAGAGTAGTATTGGCAATTCACATTTATGTGTAAAGGTTATGTAACCCATCTCTCAAAACAACCCTATTAGGTAGGTAGTGCATGTGTGGTTATTCCCATTTTACAAATGAGGAAACTGAGGCACAGAGAGAGGTGAGGTTACATAGCATTTCTAGGGCTGTATCCCAAAGAGATCATAAAAATGGGAAAAGGACCCACATGTACAAAAATATTTATAGCAGCTCTTTTTGTGGTGGCCAAGAATTGGAAATTAAGGGGATGCCCATCAATTGGAGAATGGCTAGACAAGTTGTGGTATATGAATGGAATGGAATACTATTGTCGCATAAGAAATGATGTACAGGTGGACTTCAGAAAAACCTGGAAGGACTTATATGAACTGATGCTGAGTGAAGTGAGCAGAACCAGGAGAACATTGTACACAGTAACAGCAACATTGTGGGATTACTAACTTTGACAGACTTATCTCTTCTTAGCAATGCAAGGATCTAAGACAACTCTAAAAGACTTATGATGGAAAATGCTGTCCACATCCCAAAAAAAACTATGGAATCTGAATGTAGATCTAAGTGTACTATTTGCGCTCTCTCTTTTTTTCTTCTTTTTCGTGGTTCCTCGTATCGGTTCTAATTCTTCTTTACAACATGACTAATGTGAAAATTTAAAAAAGAAAAAAGGAAAGAAAAGTAGGTAGAGATTGGACACTAAAATTTAGCAGGTGTTGAGAGCTCCCATGTGGTGCAGTGAGAGGTATATATTTGGATTCAGAGAATGTGGATTGGAAGCCTGTCTCTGTCACTTACTGTGTGATCTTAGTAACTTAAGCTTTATGAGCCCTAGTCCCTCACTGGCATAGTGATGGGGTCTCTAAGATCCCATCTAATTCCAAATCTATGATTTCTTTAGCAGCGTGGAAACAACTGGGCTTACACACCTAGTTAGCAAGAATAATTAGTAAACAAAAAAAAAAAAAAAAAAAGGAAGCTATAGGTAACATAAAGGCCGCTAGGTGGCGTAGGAGATAGAATGCCCGGCCCAAAGTCTAGAAGATTAATCTTCCCATTAGAATAATTTTGATACCCCTATTCAATTTAATCAGTATTTACTTAGTTCATGGTGATCTATGGGTATCAGTGATTGTTTTTAAGTAAGATAAATAGGATAGAAGTAAGTTTGATTTAGTTAACACTGTTAGAATAAGAGTTATGTAAATTAGGATTAATTAATCCACTCTGTGTAGATGATTATATTGCTTTTAATTGATTTATAGGATAGATTTATACTGTATTATTTAGACCTGTTATAAAGATTTATATTAACTTGTGTATTAATCTTGCCCTGCCCATTCCTATGAATGTACTATGACAGCTGTGTTCCAGAAAAACCAGTTTTCCCATTTCTTCTGTTCTTGGAAGAGAAAAGCCAGAATTTCCAAACCCACAACCATAGTGGCAAATTTGGTGCCCTTTGGCAACTCATAAACCCACAAGACTGATTTTATCAAAACAAGGAGAATCTGCCAGATTGCTCTGAACACTATTTCCACTATATGTGGCACGGGTTTACATTTTTAAAGGTTAAAAGGGAAAATGATCTACGCAATAATAGAAAATAGGGGGGAAATAGAAGATATTTAATAAATTCTAGTTGATTGATTACAAGAGATAGTATTTGAGTTGAGACATGAAGGATGAGTAGGAATTAGAACTGGATGGTTAGGGCATTTCAGGAGAAGAGAACAGCAGGAGTAAAGACCTGAAGGAAAAACAGGGCATGTATTCAGAGAAGAGCAAAAAGTCCAGCTTGCTATAATATATATTAAGTTATTGAAGGGACACAAAAGACCATATGGTTTAGAGCTGGAGGGAACCTTAGCAATCATCTAGTTGACTCCCTCACTTTACTAATGAGCAGACCAAGGCTAGGAGAGTTTAAATGATTTGGACAAAGTTGTAAAAGATAGTAAACAACAGAGCCTAGATTTAATGCCAAGGCTTCAAACTTGGTCAGCTAATAGTGTAAAATAAGGTGGAAAAGGTAAATTTTTGGTCTGATTTCAAAGAGCTTTGCCCACTGCATTAGGTCCTGTTGCTTAACTTGAGACTAATACTATTGATAGTATCTATTGAAAACTTCAACCTTGGGAAGTTAGTACACTATTTCACCATGTCCTCAGGTTTTGGTCTGGATGTATCCTCCACCAGATTACATGAATGTAAGCCTGTTAATTTGAATTACACAACAATTTTGAATGCTGGAATGTTTTTGGAGGTCAGTCAAATACAATATTTGACTTTGACTGTTAACATAATGATTTTGCCTGAGATTAGGGTTGAATGCTTTTCGCCAAAGGGCTGCTAGATCCCACTGCCTCATTGTCCCTTCCCGCGGGACATCAACGGAGGTCCGGACCTGTAAAAGAAGGAGGGGAGCAGGGGACACAGGAAATGGAGACAAGACAGGCTTTCTGATCAAGTCTCGTTTATTGAAGGCTAGCTCAGGGTAGTTATACACACCGTAAGAGGGAGGGGGGGAGTTCCACCACCGGTATAGGGGCGGGGTATTCCAGGAAGAGGTACAGCTTTGTCCATAATTTGTTCTTATCACAAGGACCACCAAAGGTATAGGGGTATTCCAGGAAGAGGTAGTAATTTGTTCTTATCACAAGGACCACCAAAGGTATAGGGGTATTCCAGGAAGAGGTACTAATTTGTTCTTATCACAAGGAGGCCTTGACAACTGCAACCTAGTAATTTTCCAGAGGTCATACTGGGCCTGTGGTCCCTTACACCTCATCCCCCAATATGCAACTGGAAGAATTATAAATAATCCTCTAGGATAACTTGTCCTAGATTTTGATTCCAGTATCTGTATGTTTCCACCACCGCCCTCTTTTCTTTTCTTTTTTTAATTGGACTTGAGATTTCAGTGATATAGGGTGCAGAGAAC